CAAAATATGCGGTCGAATCGCCGCTATTCGCCGGAAGCGCGAGCGCAGTTTCTAATGTGTCGCGAACCACTGATCAGAAAACGATGTCTCGAGATCTGAAATATATGGATCTAATCTTATGGATCTATTCTAAATCCTGCAGCTACCTCCGTATCAAATCTCTAATAGATGGACGAAAGAGTACAAGTCAATTTGACAAATTTCAGTCGTCATTTCTAAAGAAAAATTATATCGACGTGTGTCGTCAATTCTCACGAATCAAAATCCAACATCTGATTTTAAACGTAACTCCAAATTTAAATACTATAAATACTTTCCGGCAAATCAATAATTTCGATTTATATTCACACTACCCGTTCACTAAAAGCTTTAATTATAAATTCTTCAATTAAGAACAATCTCGAAAAACGTAGAATGGCTCATCAAATTTCTTAGAAGAAACACCAAGTTAACGTGCGAAGATGAATATCGTCGATATCAAATTGTCGTTAATAACCGTACAGTTGATGCGACATAAATCTTAAGACAGGAAAGAAAAGAGAAAGAAAGAGAAGTCGTCGGCCGCGTGAAAAAAGAGAAGAAGAAGAAGAAGAAGAAGAAAAAAAAAAGAAGAGGGCACAACGAATCCATGAGGAAGCTGTCCCTCGTGCCTGTGCTCTTGTGCTCGGCGCGCCCCTCCGATCTCGTCCCCCTTCTCGGCCCTGTTTCTCGTTCTGCCGAAACATTTTCATCGAAGCCAGCGAGAAAGAGAATCGGTTTAGAGTGGTTGATAAGAGAGAACCGGGCGGGCACCGAGTGTGTTTACAAAAGTTTCAAACGTCCAGTAAAAAAATTGCATCGGAGGCCGGCTTCCGCCGTTAAGCACAAAGCTAATTACCAGCTGAATATATTTCGGTACATTTTGTCGTGTCGGGGCCGGAGGGGTCTTTGGTCTCTCTCTTCTTCAACCTCTACCTCACCCCGTTCCCATTCTTCCCTTTTCCTTCATCGCTGTCTCGTGTAGTTGCCGCGCTGCCGGGCTCCCGATGACGAACCGAGACGAGGAACGAGCGAAACACGACAAGGGTTCTCTCGGAATCTCTTTCAACGACGATCGACGAAACCGAAAGCTATACTACCCTCCCACCCTCTCTTTCTCTGTCTGTCTGTGTCTCTTTCTCTTTTTCATTTCGCTCGTTCCTCGAATTTCGTTCCGTGCGAGACGTTCGCGAGAATCGAAAAAAAAATCTAGATCTTAAAACTCGTCTCCTTCATTCCTGATCTTTACAGTAGTCAAGAACGACGAACACGAAACGATGGAAAAACGGAACTTGATATTTGGAAACGGAAATGAATGACTCTTGAGTGAATCATTGAAACTACTGATTAATAATTATATTGTATGCTGATGTAGTTTCTATCATTATTTGAAAGTTCATGTAATTCTCTTACTATGTTTATAATGCCACGAAATTTATTCCTTTGCCAAACCTTCTCAATCCTAACAGATTCTTAATAGTGGAGAGCTACAAAAGGAAAATTTCTTCGTCATCGCGTCTTTCACCTAGATTCTATAAATCAATTTTATAAAATTCACAGAAATCAAAGTACTCGTTATATATTATGACCAATTGCTTGGTCCTTGCCGGTTAAGCCGAAGCCGGATGATAAAATTAACGCGTTCGAGAGGCGGGCGGTCCGCGGACAGATAAACTATCGTCGATCGACGCCGAGAGAATTAACCGCTAGGGAGAAAAAGATCCACCCCTCGAACGGTTATAATCTCAATGTTTCTAGCCTGGCCGTGTCCATAAATAATTACACCACCGAGTCTACCCCGACGGCCACCCTAACGATCGTGTGAAAGGGAGAAATTGACAACTTTCCTCTTGATAATCCTTGCATATTAGTTTCGTACAAGTTTCCCGTAAAATGGCGATTAAAGGACGACCACGAAGGTGCCAATCTCGCGGCTCATTAGGCACACTTTCACCCTACGGGCGACCCTCTCCTTTGACGACTAATCACGTAAGGGTTTACCCCGGACACTTTTTCCTCCTGGCTCTGCCGGCAGTCGTTGTCGAGCGTGCTCGATCTGATAGCCTAATGCACGGCTTCCTATGCGGAAATGCTTCGCCACATTATTCTACGGTGCTACGTGTACTCCAGCCACCCTCCGCCACCCTTCGCTACCCTGCCGACGTTGTACTTTTGTCACGAGAACCGAGTCGAGTTCCGTTTGCGCCATCGTCCACGCTTTTTTCAATCTTCTTGCTGCGAAGCTTCGACCGGTTTTCATCGGGGAAACAGAACGTCCGACACGATCCAGGCGATAATGATCGATCGATCTTCCCCCTCCTAGGTTCGATTCTTGACTGACTGAGTGAGTGAGTTATAGATAAGATCGAGATAAGAAGCTGTCGGGTAATGAATTTTTGGCTCGGGCTTTGGCAAATAACAGGAGGGGAGAACCTTCGAGAAATCGATCGATGACAATTTCGCGTGGAAATTTTACGTTTTTTGCATTCGTTCGCAATCTTTTAGACATTTGACATTGAAAGACACGAGAACTTCAATCTATGCTGTTATTTTTAACTTTGGAACTTCTGATCTAATTTAATTTTCCACCACCAAAATTTTAATCATCTAAATCACGTAAATCAGTCGTCTATCTATGACCCAGATACTCGAAAGATAAAATTGTTCGAACATGATAACGATAATCTTGTTTTCGATGCTCGGAAAATAAGAAGTAAACTCGTCGCATAACTACGAAGTTTTCCAATAATTCAAAAACATGCAACATCTTTTTTATTAAACAACCAAATACCAACACACGATAATCTCTCATTAATCAGCTGAAACGTTACAACCACCGCTCTCCAAAAAAAAGAAAGAACAAGAAACAATCGCATTCACACATACATTGAACCAACTACTTTAATTCGACGAACCGTTTAATTTTCCAAAAATAGCTGTGTCTATTAAAACAATAATCAACTGACTAGCAGCACGTAAGGATGTTTCCTTCGGATATTGTAGCGGGACGGGAGAATCGGTCTCGAAGCAGAAGACAGCAGGAGGAGATGAAAAGAGAGAAAGAGAGAGAGAGAGAGAAGGATCCGGGGGTTGAGCGTCGTGCGAAGCGCGAGGGAAGGAGTGAAAGGAGATCAGGCGAGAAAGAGAGGGACGAGCCTTTCACAAAGCGATTC